TCCTGGATTTGTGTGGCTTTTTCTCTCTTCAAATTAGGGAAGTTTTCCATCATTACTTTTTCAGATAGGTCTTCTATATCTTGTTCTTCTTCTCCTTCTGGTATCCTTATTATGTGGATATTATTATGTTTCATATTGTCTTGCATTTCTCTTAATTTGTCTTCATTCTTTCTGAGCCTCTTTTCCTTTTCTTGCTCTTTCTGGGAGTTTTTTTCTACTTTCTCCTCCAATTCGCTGATTCCATCTTCTGCTTCATCGATCCTGCTTTTGATTCTTTCCACTGTGTTGTTCAGTTCAGAAATTGTATTCTTTATTTCTTCTTGGCTCTTGCTGATAGTTTCTATTTCCTTTTTCATGTTGATATAGTTTGCAGTGAGTTCATTGTAGTTCCCCTGTAGTTTCTGGTAACTAATTGTGACCTCTTTGAACTTCCTTATAACCAGTGCTTTGAATTCAATGTCTGATAGCTGACTTGTTCTTTTTTCATCTAGCATTCTTTCTAAGGCTTCCTCCTTTTTTTTTTTTTTTGTTTGGGGATTGCTTCTTTTTCTTCCCATTGTTAGTGAGACTCTTCTTGTTAGCTTCAGCATCTTAAATTGATTTGTTATGGCTTTCTGGTTTTATGGTGTGAACTTCTGTGGTGTAATACCTGTGAGATTCAGTGGTGTAGTCTCCTTGATCTCCAAGCTCACTGGTCTTAGGCTGTCTTTTCAGTTGACTCTGCATTTGTCTTTGGGTTTTGGTTGTTTTGGTTGTTTTAGGGTTTTTCTTTTGTGGGTCCTTCCCACCAGCTGGATACTGATGGTCCCTCTGTTCACCACCTGTTTTAATTTGTTGTGCTGGTGAGGGCAGTTTGTGTTGAAGCTAGTTCTTTCATGTGTACAGGGTTTTGAGGATTCTGTTTTACTCTTGTTCAGTTGTTTGCACTGGGTAGTTTCTCCACTGTTTAGTTGTATTTTCAGATAGGTCTTGGATTAAGGTTTGTTTGGTTTTCACTCTCTCCTTCACCTTCTTATGTTGTTATCTGTTGGTGGTTCCTTTGTTGTTGGGTTTCCAATTCTAGCGGGTATCCTGGTGTTCACCACTTTAACCGACTGTTTTTTTTGTGTGCGTGTGCGCGATCAGTTGGAGTGGATGGCAAAATGTTTTACGACAGCAGTAGTGTATTCTATGATAGTCACAATAGCAGCTGGTAGAGAAGAGATAGGAGATCTTTAGGCTATATATAATGTTAACTGTGATCTTCAGCCCAACTAGCCACTTTTAGAAAGAATGGACAGAAGATAAGTCTCTTGTTGGGGAGGAAAAGCTTGTGAGTTGGATCTAGAAAACAGTGAGTTTGTGGGAGGTCAGATTCTGAGGCAAGGTGAGAGTAAAGGATAGTAAGTAGGTGTAGTGTGTGAGAGAATATAGTTAACCACTACAGTAATAGAGTTCACGAAACTGTGAACTGGGTTAAGATCTGGAAGGGGTGATATGAAGTATTTACAATTGTATGGAACAGCTATTATTTACAATAACATTAAAGCAACAATCATATGACAGAATCTATTTGATCTGAATAACAAGAATAGGGGGTATAGGACTTTGAGTAGTATGCTAAAGGAACACAAGTGAAGGACAGTAAATTAGCAATACACCGTGAAAGAGAGAACAGGGGAAACCTATCAAATAAGAAGGCTATACAGAAAAAGGAATAATACAAAAATACTATTAAAGTAAAAGATGTAAGAATAATGAAAAAAATTAAAAATACAAATATGCAAAATATGCAGCAACTTGTGGCTTCTCTGCTATAGCAAAGTGAAATTTGTCTCTTTGTCTTTACTGTTGGGATGCCCCCTCTTTGGGTCCAACTCTGGTCTTTTCGCAGTTCCAAGTTTTTTCTCTCACTTTTGGGAAAAAGAAAAGGCAGGAGAAGGGAGAAAGAAGTGAAAAGTTTGGAAAGAAAGGAAGAAGGAATAAAACAAAAAAGAAGGAAAAAGAGGAAAAAGGTATCGAAAGATAAAACAATAATAAAATTTTAAAAATAAAAGATTACTTTAAAAAAAAAACACCTTTTGGCCAAGCTGGCCAAACCAGTTTTTCTGGTCTCACTGGCTGCAGCTGGCTCAGGAGCCATTGGTATGGCCTTTCTCCCTTCCTGATGTGTACTCAAGCAGTTTCGTGAGTACTCTCCTGATAGCTAGTCTGGCACCTCTCCCCAGCACCCCACTCGGGATCCAGGTCTTCTTCAAAGCACTCTTTCCCAGGGAAGCATCGCCGTGGGCTGGGGTGTGGGTTCCCACGCCTGGCCAGGCTGCCTGGGTCCCGCAGGTTTGGTCTTGAACCATTCCCAGTGCTTGGGGGAACGGAAGGCCTTCTGCCCAACCTCGGGATCACTGCCAGGCTGGGTGGGGAATAGGCCAAGCGGCTGTCACAGGAGGCTCTCCCAAATACTTTACCTTTCGAGAGATTCCTCCCACTCAATCCTGCCTCTCAGCACGGCCCATTTCTCCAGCCAGACCGCTGACCATTGGGTTCTGAGTACGACACTGTGACTCTCAATTCTCCCCAGCTGTGACCACAGACTCTTTGGGTGATCATGGCCCTTGTGTTTGCCTCCTTATCCTTATTCCCCTCTCTGCAACTTCAAGCAAACCGGTCTCTCCTGGTGTTGCTGAAACCCTGCTTGGCTGGGGAGGGAGGGAACTGATGACCTAGCTCCCTCTCCCCCAAGGACCTTGCTGCTGGCCCTTGGCTCTCAAGGAGTCCATGGTAGACCTGGTGCCAGGCACGGGCCAAAGCTGCTGCCTGTCTCTGCACTGGTCCCTCCGGCCTTATTGTCCTGCAGCCATCTCCTTGCTTTCTGATCTTTCAGTGTCCACTACAATTTCTGGTCTCTTATTTTCATATATGCTGGGGTACTGTTGGCTATTTGCTTTGCTTCTCCGTAGATTAAACAGGTTTTTCTCCCATGTGTAGGGGGAGGTGGAATGTGCTCTGTCCTACTCTGTCACCATCTTCCCTGAATCTGCAGCTCCTCTTTTAAAAAAGTCTCTTTGGGCATTCCCACTGCAGTGCCCTGCTTTCCACACTTCACCTCTCCAATAAGTCAAGAGTCTATCTCAGTCATGCAAATCAAAGCCCTAATTTTCCCACAGGTCCAGGTGCAGGTACTCTCCTGGTTCTCGTCCACACCACAGCTAAGGTGTGCCACAAGCTGTGTGAGTGTATAACCCGTTTCTCCATGATTTGTTCTAAGTTGCTCCTGTTGGGGTCTGGAGATTTCTTGCCCTGGGAGGGGAGAGAGCTGCTAGGCTACTATCTCTAACCAGACTCTCTACAGATGCTAGTGCCATGCCTGGAGACTTTCCCCATTCACCTATAAAACATCCTTACCACCCATTTTGAAGTATCCTCTTTACTCTTTGGATTTCAAATTTCATATCAGTTAAGATTCTCTTGACTGTTCACTTTGTTTTTTGGGAGATCAGTTAAGTGTCTGACTTGGGTGCACAAGCATCTTTTATCTAACTCATGTATATATGATGGTAACACAAACCTATATGTGATATACACTGCTATTTCAGTGGTGAATTAAACTTTTCAAGATACTTAGTTATCATTTGGTTAATTAAAATAATAAATGGCTAAGGGTAATTAAGTCCTTTTAGGTCTATTGCCTTTATTTTATGCATATATGTGCCATATAAAACACACATATTGCAGCATTTCTCACAGAAGCATCTAGACTTTCCTAATCAGTGAAAAAGTGACTAGGACTCATGTTCCTCGGTGATCATTTTCCACAGGATCTGCTGCACTGGTAGAGAACATCTGTTAAAAGCTTACTATAGTATTACATAGAGTTCTTGACAAACACTTCATTAGAATGGAATTTCTCTCTGGGGCAGAGGCCTCCCCTGTTCTCCTGTCTGCTAAGTTTAACCATCTCTACTTCTACAGTTAAGAATCCTTAATTTATAAAGAAAACAGGAGAGCTCACACAACTGATTGTCTTATGAACTGTACTATGTATTGAATAATTTTGTAAATTTATAAATGGTTTTTTAATATTCTTTCCCTGAAAAAAACATTAAAATGTTCATGTTTTTTCTTTATATAGACTCTAAGCCATTCCAGACGTGTAGGAATTTGTTGCTCTGAACGAATTATGTGATATAATGCTGAAATAATCTACTGGAGGATTTTGGATGTAATAATGTTTCTTAATGTGTTTTCCATATGTTTGTGATCTTTTGAAACTGTTTTTTCCTCCACTTAATTTTAAGGCTTTTAGATTTGAGCCATAGAAATTAATGAAGTGGAATTCTTGAATTAATTACTGGAAGAATCTCTCTCTTCCTCTAGTAAGCCATTGTTAATATAACAAAACAATTTATAGAAACTCAGTTCCCAAATTGTGATACACAATAGATGAAAGTGGTGTGTTGATTAAAATATTATGTTAATATAGAGCTATAAGCAATACAGTTTCCAAATAATTAGAGAACTGTAGAATATATGTAATATAAACTATTCTAAATGTAATTTTAATGATTTTTTATTCATTCAGTAGGTTATGGATATATAGACATTCTGGTTGAGTATTACATGTCATATCTTAATATTTTGTAAGATATTTTTGTTAATAATTTCTTCCACAATTTACTGAGTATTCTGAATTGTATGAGCACCTTTCATGGTGCTTGACATATAGTGGTCACATAAGTTTACTGACACTGTCAAAAATTTGATGTAAAGGGTCCAGCAGAAGTAACACCATTGAGTGTGGTTGGAAGTGTACATGAATGTCTCACACAAGATGGACAGCAATTTGAACATTTCACATAAAATATCACATGGTGTGCTTTAGTGTGATATTGTTATGTTACAGAATTACATGCTTATGATTTTATAATAAAAGATTTTTATGTAATAAAAGAGGGGAGTTATTTGTGCTGGACCTTATATTTGAGGAAACAAAATTCTGATTGGTTCTGATCTGTTTCTTTCAGAAAGGTCACCACACATATAATGGAATTTTATCTGATTCGGTAGATCTTCATTCTGGATATCAAGGTAACAATACGGGAGGTATGCATAATTTCTCATTTCTGCAAGTAGTCTTGATTGCTGCAGGAAGAAATTTTTTAAGCTACAGCAAAATTCATTTTGGTAACTTTTATGGAAATCCCAATTTTGTTTTTAAATTTTTGATAACCTTTTGCTAAAGGTATGCACAAGCAAAGAATTAATCTCAGTAGGCAAGTCCACATTAATAAGAATGCCTAGAAGAGGACTGATTCTTCAGGCCCGGGCCCAGTGGCTACTGTTGGGTCTTGCTTTAGTTTGCATTTTGGTACTGTTTTTGTATCTTCTGGAATGTGCCCCCCAGACTGATGGAAATGCATCTCTTCCTGGAGTCATTGGGGAAAATTATGGTAAAGAGTATTATCAAGCCCTACTGCAGGAGCAAGAAGAACATTATCAGACCAGGGCAACCAGTCTGAAACGCCAAATTGCACAACTAAAACAAGAATTGCAAGAAATGAATGAGAAGATGAAATCATTACAAGAGAGAAAGAATGTAGGGTCTAATGGCATAGGGTATCAAGGTCACAAAGAACAAGTACCTAGTGATCTTCTAGAGTTTCTTCATTCCCAAATTGACAAAGCTGAAGTTAGCATAGGAGCCAAACTACCTAGTGAGTATGGCGTCATTCCGTTTGAAAGTTTTACCTTAATGAAAGTATTTCAGTTGGAAATGGGTCTCACTCGCCATCCTGAGGAAAAGCCAGTTAGAAAAGACAAACGAGATGAATTGGTGGAAGTTATTGAAGCTGGCTTGGAGGTCATTAATAATCCTGATGAAGATGATGAACAGGAAGATGAGGATGGTCCCCTTGGAGAGAAACTGATATTTAATGAAAATGACTTCATAGAAGGTAATGTGAAAAATGTGTTGGTCCATAGTTATATTAGTATGACAGAATGTTATTATTGTATGCTGGTAATATGTCAGTCATTTTCCACAGTGTTAAAATATTTGTTTACCCATTTCATTCCACCAAGAGTTTGAAGTGGCTTTTTGCAAAAAGTTATAATATGATTGTAATAAAGTAGAAAATAAGAACTAGGGAAATAGAATAAATCTAAGCTTATATAGAAGACTGCTACCCAAGTGAAGAACTCTTAGGGCTGTTGTGTATTTACATGTGTATGTATTTGCATTCCTCTCTTTGCCGGTCTTGGTGTTCTTTTCTTATATATTTAAAAAATGTATGAACTAAGGCTCAAGATTTTAAAACTATTTGTTAAAGTAAAGAAAAACACCTAATTCTGTAGATTAGTGGTTATTCTATATTTTGGAGGGGAGGAGAGCAGCACATGTGAGAATATCAGTGAGGCATATATAATATTAAAAAGCATATTTGGCATTGGAAAAGTATTTTTCTAATACAAATGGCAACAAGGACATGGGATTTTTACACATCAAATGGGACATGACTTAAAAGTGGAGGAATACTGCTATAAATCTTAGATAACTGTTGCTCGATATAAACAGTAATAATCATAGATTCCCACCCGTCCCCATCTTAATATCCTCTGCTGGATATTTAATTGCAGACTTAAAACCATTTTAGATATAATCTTTCTTACAGGTTCTCTTTGTTTGACATACATTGTCTACCACATACAGTTTTTTTTTACCGCAAGTCATCATGGATGCTATTTGCTATATGTAATACTGCATCTCTGGGCCCTTGGAGGCTATTAAGGAGAACATTGTGCTTTCTGGCATTTCAACTGTGTTCTGCCTGTAGCCACCTCTTTTTTTCTTCTGTCATTTCCTGCCATTTTCAAGGGGTTGTTCCTCTCAAAACTTCTGTTTTTTCCACAAGGTGAGGTTCTTGTCTTTTCACTCTATGATTGTGGCTTACAGCAGAATTGAAAGCTGCTGAGGAAATAACTAAGTAATGTGTAAAATGTGTTCACATCTTCCTGAAAAGAAAGGAACCAATGCCATTTTTATATTCTACTTATAATTCTCCTTGTCATTTGAAGCATATGCTGTGGATTGAATAATAATATAGATAAAAAAGCAGAGCAATGAACTTTTTTAAACTTTTTAAAAACTTTTTTTAACTTCTCCTTTTATAAAGAAATAGTTGTGGGCATAAATATTTTCACAAACAGATAAAAACCCTACAGATCTGGTTTAAGACTTTTGATCTTTCAGTAAAATCCATATTCACATTGAATTTATAAACTTTGACATGGAGACATCTTTGTTCCTCTTTCCTTCAGGTTATTACCGCACTGAGAAAGATAAGGGCACACAGTATGAACTCTTTTTTAAGAAAGCAGACCTTATGGAATATAGACATGTGACCCTCTTCCGCCCTTTTGGACCTCTCATGAAAGTGAAGAGTGAGATGATTGACATTACTAGATCACTTATTAATATAATTGTGCCACTTGCTGAAAGAACTGAAGCATTTGTACAGTTTATGCAGAACTTCAGGTAACTCTCAGAGCTTAATGATTGGTCTAAGCATGCCTGAAAAAAAATCACACTTCATACACAGTTATTTATCTTCACTGAGTATGATTATTTAGAATTACAAAATAATTTTATCTTTTTTCTTAAAACATTTATAACATTGTGTTTTTGATAACTTCAACTATGAAGTAAAATAAATTGAGGATGACAGTTATAAGAAACTAACTTCGATTACCTTTATAATTGTGTGTGAATTCATGTAAGGATAAGTTTCATTTTTAAAAATAACATTATTGAGGCATAATTTACATAAGAATAAAATCCACATATTTCAGAGATGGGTTTCATGACTTTTGACAAATGTGTACTCATGTAGCCACCTCTCTAATCAAGATATGGAACATTGCTATCTCCCCAGAAAATTTCCTTAAGAACAATTTGAATTTTAAAATTGAAATAAATTTTAGAAATATAAACATTCAACTAAAAACAGGAGAAAGTTATTCTATCTTGAGTAGGAGACTAACAATTTTTAAAAGGATTTTCTTTTGCCATTAGATTTGGATATTTTAAAACACTGAAGTGTTAAAGAATTAACAACTACATATTAGAATAACTATTTGAGTAAAGTTTTGCTTCGTTTAATTGCCTTGTTTTAAATACTTTAATATGCTCTTTTTAATGCTTTGTAATTCCAGCCTTTATTCTTATATTGAAATTGTTGGATTTAAAGTTATTTAACACTCTTCTGTAACAATATCTAGAAGTCATGCTTCCAAGTGAGTTTTGCATGTCTGAAGTAGCTCACTTGAGATCTGATTTCCTAAATCATTTTTATTGCTTTTTTTGGAATTGCCTTCAGATACTCCAATATTCTTTAAAGTTAGTAACCTCATTAGTAGCAAATATTTTATTTCTTGAATATTAAGTATAATTTCAGTTCTAGTCAGTCTGAAGACAAAATAAGTCTCTAATCAAAAGATGAGTATTTATTTATTTGCTTCTGAATTTATTGGGCTTATTTCCTTAAGTAGCTTGTAATTTGTTCCTAAAGACAATACCAAAGCAAAGGTTTCCAAAATGTTTAGAAATTTGGCAACATTGTTGGACTGCTTCCCTGGCCCTCCAAGGGTTGCTCTTATTTAGACATATACATTGTTATTCATTCACAGTGATGTCTTTAATAATTTAGTACTTTATATTTACTTAAAACTCATGTGATTTTGTCTTTAATAATGCCTCATTCATTTTCTTCATGTGATTGCTTTCTGAATAAGTAGAACCTCATGTTTACCTGAATAAACTTTATTTTTCAATTCTGTTAGGGATGTATGTATTTATCAGGACAAGAGGATTCACCTGACAGTGGTGTATTTTGGTAAAGAAGGACTGTCTAAAGTCAAGTCCATCCTAGAATCTGTCACAAGGTGGGTGAGCCTTCTCCACATAGAAGTCCTTGATGTATAACATTAGAAGAGTGAGAATTTCACATATTTAATGAGTTAATTTGGAATAGCTGCTGTTTAAAAGTTGACTGAGCATGTGAGTGGTGGTAAGTTTCCTCATTTCACCCCAGGTTCCCTCATGCAACTGTAAATGACTCACCTTCACTTACACTCTTAGCAGAAAGCCCGGTATGGTCAAGTGTGCTCTCATTCTGGAGAGCACTTACTCTCTATGTTTGCCTCCATTTATCACCCCTTGGTTTCCTCCTGTTGAACTCATTCCCTTTGATAATATCTCTTAAGTTTGTCTCTTACTTGTCACTTGTCTTTTCATTTTTTCTCACCCTGTAAATGATGCTTAGGTCTCCCCTTATCCTTAAGAAACTTCCACCTGACTCTATAATATCCACCAGGTAGTACTGTTAGCTTTCTGTCCTTTCATAGCTTAACCTCACAAGACAGTAATTCTCTAACCAGACAACTCATATAGTACCTGTTGTATAGTAGGTGCTCAGAATTTTGAATGGATGAATTAGTAATTCCTTAGCCTTTTCATCTCTAAGTTATCCCAAAGTTATGACCTAATTGCCAAATCAGCCTTTTTTTTTCTGTCATCCTTCTATCACTTTTTTTACATTTGATACCTGACAAATACTTCCTTCTTGAAACATTCCTCTGATATTTATAAAATTTAAATGTTTTATAAATGTAAATATTTTATATTTCTGAAGAGTACAGGTTTGGCTGGCCATTTCTGAAGAGTACAGGTTTGGCTGGCCATTCTTCTTGAATCATTCTACTGACATTCATTGAATCCCATCAGCTATGTTCGAGATACCCTGCTTAGAGTCTGACTGGTATGGTTGGAATAGGACAGGGCATGGAAGAGGGAGTTGTACCTCCTACCTCTAAGTGGCCTTCTCACAGCATTGATGTGGAAACATTGTCTTCTCCTCTCGATGGCCCTTGTTTAGTTCAGATTAAGACCATTCTCGTGATTCCCTGCACTTGATGCCTGAGAGCCAGCATCTTTCACTCATTTTCCATCTCTCATTAGTCAGTTTCTGCTTACTACACAGGATCTCTTCTCTGTTCTTTCCTTGCTGCTGCCACCATGTATCTTCCCCCTAACCCTTCATTTCTTCCCTTCTCTTCTTCCTTACCATTTTTAGTCACCTACTAATTTCTAGGCACTCACATTGGTATTTCTGAAGCCATCCCTGCATTAGTCAAGACTTCTCTGTGGTAAATGATGGGAACCTCTCTTGAGAACAAGGAAAATGAGTTATTGAAGAATCTTGGATAACTTGCAGCTAAAGGGATCATTACAGCCAGACTTGAAGAAGAAAACCAAATCAGCTTTGATATCTTATGACTTGAACCAGAGACTTGAATACCATCAATTTTTTTTGTCTTCTTGTCTGTTTTTCTTTGCATCATGACTTTATTCTCCATTGCAGATTGTCTTTTTCCACTTGTGAGCTTTGCTATCGGAGAGGAAAACATCTTTTTCTCAGACCCAGCTAAGAAAATCCCAGGAAGGAACTTTTGCCCACTCTTGAGCCAATTATTATGGCCAGGTGCAGGTATTGCAGTTAGCCCAGCTTGAGTTGGGTGCCTGCTCTTAGGAAATTACTGTGGTTGGAGTGCTCTATGATTAGTTCTTCCACTTGGTGGTAAGACTGTGAGGTGGTGAACGGCAATTTCCCCAAAATAAGGGAGAGATTTATATCCTGTAATAAGGGGAGCATGGGTGCTCAGAGCACTTGGAGTCCCCTTCATACACTATTTGAATCTTTGCTTCCATCTCTCTATTTCCCATTCTGTGAGGGGGGGACCCCCAAAAACCCAGAGTGTATTTATAAAAAATTGTGTACTTATCCTTACATGTTTAAACTTGAGTCACCTTCAAAGTACTTGCCTTGATGCAACACACCTATCAAGACTTTTTTCCACTGCTCAAACAGTTTTTGAATTCATCAATTTTCATGCCTTTTAGGGCTTCTGGCATTTTTTGTTTCACCTCTTCCACATTGGCAAAACTTTTTCCTTCGAGGATTTTTTTTCATCTGGGAAACAAAAAAGTTGCTCAGGGCGAGATCAGGTGAATAGGGAGGGTGGGGCACAGGGGTTATGCTGCTTTTAGTCAAAAACTGCTGGACACTCAGCCTGGTATGGGCAGATGGGCTCAAAACATAAATCATTCATTATGAAATGGACAGACATGTTGAGATTCTTCAAAAAATTTCACTGAAGCCAAATGCAGCCACTCACAACAATGCCAGCTGGTACACTGATAGAGATGGGTCCTGAGAACATTCACGTAGTTGGGGAAGCCTGTACTACAAGGGGCCAGCCCTCCAGAAGATAATTCCAGATCTTTCTGGGGTCTCTACTTTGTATATTATTGTAAGAGTAATATTTCAATATTACAAGAGTAAAAAAGGATCCTGAAAGGGTCCTTTTTTTGATCCAACTATACCCTAGTGGAGCAGTTCTCCACCTTTGATATCAAAGTCACCTGGCTTACTAACATAAATAATCAACTTCACCCATAGCATTTGATACAGGAGTTTGGGGTGAGACCTGAGAATTTGCATTTCTAATATATGTCCAAGGAAGCTCTGATGCTCTGGATGCAGGGACTTAACAGTGAGAACTAACGCTGTGATGGGAAAACCCTGACTCTTCCTTGCCTTTGACCAAGATCTCTAACTTCTCTTGGAAGGTACTACTTAAAACCAGAAAAGCTTTTCTCGTTTTCTGGTTTTACTGTTCCCATTCTAGGATCCCTCTTAGCCAATTTGATTTGTCTGATCCCTGTTCTTTACAATGCTTTGCACTTACTTTCCTCTTTGCCTTTGAGGATAATTAATTGGAATGACCTTCACACTAGCCACTGAATTCAGGATTTTAGCCAAGGCCTAACTTAAATTCCAATTCTAACTTCTTTTCTGACTACTCCAGGCAGAAGCAGTCTTTTTTTTTCTCAGAACTGCTGTTTGTTCATTTATTCAGCAAATATTTATTGAACTCCTATTCTGCAAGGTCCACTGTGTCCAGAGTAATGAACAAAACAGAATCCCTCCTCTAGTGGAGATTGCATTCCAGTGGAACTGAGGAAAACAAAGCTGGGCAGTGGGATGGAGATTAAATAGAGGGAGTAGGGGCTTACCTCACATACGGTATGAGGAGTATCTCTCTGATAAGACAACATTTGGGCAAAGATCTGAAGAACTCAATAGAAAAGCACTCTTTATTTGTATCATTCATGTGGAATATATTATTTATTATCAAGCATTATGTCTGTTTTCCATGTATATATTTCTTATCTTCTCCAATAGGTTTTTAAGATTCTGAAGGGCAGTGGCCCCTCAACACTTATAAACCTCATACCACCATCATGTTACCTCACATGTGGGTATTTAGTGAATACATGTCTCTGATAATGATCATACACATGAAGCTGGTGATTTCTTTTCCTTATATGAATATAAAACCAAATGATAATATATCTGAAGCACAAAACATATTTATAAATTGCATTGAAGGGAGAGAGTTGTTAAACTTTAAGTGGGACTTATAATTTGTTATATGTGCTTTCCTCATAGTGAGTCTAATTTTCACAATTACACCTTGGTCTCATTGAATGAAGAATTTAACCGTGGACGAGGACTAAATGTGGGTGCTCGAGCTTGGGACAAGGGAGAGGTCTTGATGTTTTTCTGTGATGTTGATATATATTTCTCAGCCGAATTCCTTAACAGCTGCCGGTTAAATGCTGAGCCAGGTGCGTAAAAGAGTGTAGAATTTAGAGCAATGTCAGCATGTCCCATACTATGAATCAAGTTATGTTTTTAAAGTTATATTAGGCATAATTTAACTGGAATATTAACTAGAAAAGTGAAAATTTCTCCCTCTGAAGTTCATACCCTTTGTTCTCTCATGGTCAAATTCTAATGTTTACATTTGAATGCAAATAAACAAATGGCAAAGAAATAAAAAGTCTGGAAATTGACGAAGAGGAACCAGCACCCATCAGAAAAAGAGCCAAGAAGACTGTGGAGATGTGAATCATAAGCACTTACGTCAGGCAGTGGCACCAACACACACACAGGCACATATATATAGGCAGAGAGGTCTTGTTACAGAGAGTGCTTGGTCTCAAGACTATGCATTTGGGATGACTTATTATATATTGCTTTATGTTATAGATGCTTTTGAAAATGTATGAGCAAATGGTGTTTTAATAAAGTATTTTGAATGTTTTTAATATTTTAAATGTAATTTCAATCTTTAAGTGAAAATGTTTTTTGTACTTAAAAAATCTCATAGTTTTTTTTTAATGTAGAACTACTTATATCATGCATATTATTACCTCTTACTGATTAGTTTAATGGGATAACTGTCAGGAACTCTCAGAGCCTAGTAAGCATTTAAGGGTTAGGTTTACTTTTGTTACACCAAACAGTATAAAGTTCAAAATGTGGAAGCTGGAGACATTGGTTCAATGTGAAAGAAATATTTTTATATCCAGAAATACATTTGTCTCTGGGAAACTGAGCTCCTCATCCCTAACTGGGTTTTGAGGAAGGTGAGATGAGTATCATCTCATTCTTCCTAAGAATGTTGTAATAAAAAGGCCACTACCTTACTTACAGGGTCCTTAACAGTTACTGAACACTTCATATTATCTATCTGATTGACGTTAGTCTTAGCAAGGAGTTCCCTGTTGAGAGGAGATGGACTAGTTAGCCTTAGCAAGGAGTTCCCTGTTGAGAGGAGATGGACTAGTTAGCCTTTAAGGGCCCTTCAGGGCTATAAGTTTGAGTGATAATGATAATGCTTTCTGCAAGAGCTATTACATCAGATCATTTTTATTCTTATCTTTCCAACTTTCCCAAATCTTGTTCAAATCTATCTGCAGTTCTGTGTTTTATTTTCTAGTTAATCTATTCACTGTGCAGTATCTTTGGATTTACTGTTTCTATGGTTCATTTTGAAGAATGGATTTAATTTCAGTTTCTAAGTTTTTTGGTGATTGCCAAGGTTAACCTGTATCTACTCTTGCTAATTAAATGAAATAATGCATAGTATTGGGTTGGCCAAAATGTTTATTAGATTCCTAAGTGAAAATAAAAGGCACATTTTTCATTTTTACCTATAAATTTATTGAACAACATAGTCACTGTTTTGTCCCACTACCTTCTGCCATCTTTCAGGCAACTTCATAATTCCATCTTCTCAAAACTTTTTATCATTTTGAGCAATGAACTATTCTAGGTGCCTTTTGCAGTCTTCCAGGGAATTGAAATTTTTTCCAGTAAAAGAATTTGGCCCTGGCTGGTGTAGCTCAGTGGATTGAGCGCGGGCCTGCAAACCAGACAATCGCGGTTCGATTCCCAGTCAGGGCACATGCCTGGGTTGCAGACCAGTTCCCTGCAGGCCAGTTCCCAGCAGGGGACGCATGAAAGGCAACCATACATTGATGTTTCTCTCCCTCTCTCCTTCCCTTCCCCTCTAAAATAAATAAAATATTTTAAAAAAAAAAAGAATTTGGAAATCTGAAGCTGCAGTGTCTGGTGCTTATGGCAAGTGAATCAGAAGTTCCTAGTCAAGCTGTAATAGTTTTTGCCTGGTCATCTAGGAACATGTGGTCTTGTGCTATCCTGATGAAAGATTATGTGTTTTCTGTTGACTAATTCTGGATGCTTTTCATGTAGTGCTGCTTTCAGTTGGTCTAATTGGGAGCACTACTTGTTGGAATTAATCATTTGGTTTTCTGGAAGGAGCTCATAACAGAGGATTTCCCTTCCAATTCCAACATATACCAGCTTTAACTGGTTCCCCTGACTGTGGATTATCATCCAGCAAGAAATCTCCAGCACACAAAACTTTGCAAACCACTTTGACATGTTTGATCAGTCACACAGCACCTTCTCAATACACTGCAAAAATCTTTTTTTTGCATTTCAGTTGCACTTTTACCTTTCTTGAAATAATAAAGTATAATATGCTAAAAATGTTGTATATTTTTATCATCTTCAATATTAAAATGGCTACACAAAATTTCACTAATTTTGATAAGCTTTTTTAAAAAAATGCATGCTATGTGACGGCTGTCACAAAACAGTCTAACAAATTTGTTTTGAATGCAGTTAAAGACAACTAAGTGCTACTAGATCCACCTTATGGGAGAAACGAAACAGACATTTTGGCCAACCCAATAAATGGCTCACCTAATGAACAGCTGAGAGAAGGCCTTTGTGCATCTCCCCAGAGTCAAGGAGTAAATGTTTGGAGCATCCTTTAGTCTACTTTTTTCTCTATTGTTTTGCAATGCTATAGTTCCATAGCCTAGCCTACTTAAATGTTATTAAAAATCATCATATTCACCCTGGCTGGTGTAGCTCAGTGGATTGAGTGCGGGCCTGCGAACCAGACAGTCGCAGTTCGATTCCTAGTCAGGACACATGCCTTGGTTGCAGGCCAGTCTCCAGCAGGGGATGCATGAGAGGCAACCATACATTGATATTTCTCTCCCTCTCTCCTTCCCTTCCCCTCTAAAGATAAATAAATAAAATCTTTTAAAAAATCATCATATTCATCAAATCAATATGATGTTCAGGAGTCTGATTATTGATAAAATACAATATTGATCAAATAAAATCATCATGTGGAAACAAAGACTGTAACAGACTATTAATAGATATTGTTGTGAGATCAGTTCTTCATTTTATGACTTTATGTGATATAAATGTATATTTTAATTTATAGGCAAGAAGGTGTTTTACCCTGTAGTGTTCAGTCTTTACAACCCTGCCATTGTTTATGCCAGTCAGAATGTACCCCCTCCTGTGGAGCAACAGCTGGTAAGACTCCCACTGTGTTATGAAGGGCCACAAGATCCTTTCTAGGTTCCTTTATATTTTATTCACAAGTAGAACAAAGTTTTAGTAAAAACTAAAGTTATTATAAACACATTTTCATAATTTCTTCTACCTCCCACTCCCAATAAAATACTTTCATATATATTGTTTTAGAATTGTGTTATTCCAGAGGGGGAAATAAGTTTAGGTCACAGAGAAAACTTCATGTTCCAGAATGTGAAAACTGTACAATTACTTATGCCAACACATTTATAGTAATACTACAAGTAAATTTTAATTTAAAAAACATTAACTAGAAATTAAAATTACTAGATAACTAAGTAGGGAAGTACTTAGAAAGCTATTGCATGGGAAAGTCACATGTTGCAACTTAGAGTTGTACTTACATCAGCTTAACAGTTAAAGTTAATGTTTTAAATTTTTTAAATCATTTACTATGTTATAATAATGTAGATTTACAGAAAAGGTAGAAAGGTACCATATGTGTTCCTAGACTTCACCCAGTTTTTTATAATGTTAACATTTAGTAACCATGATACATTTGTCAAAAATAAGAAATTAATATTGGTAAGTTACTGCTAACTACATTATGGAATTTTATTAGAATTTCACCAATTTTTCTACTAATATCCTTTCTCTGTTCCAGGATCCAGTCCAGACTACTATATTATACTTAGCCTAATTTTTTATTGTTAACATTAAGAAAAATAGAAACAAATTAACCAAGTCGTCAACTTAAGATGTTAAAAAATTGAATAACTCAGAGGGAAAAAGGCAATGGCAGAAACTAATTAACAAAATAATAGCTTGACAAATATAGGAGGTTATTATTTATGTGCAAAAAGCTTTTTTAGTCATAGGTAGATTCAAGGTAAAAAGGAAATTACAGTATTGGAAATTATAATTAGAAAGTTGAGAGAAATGAGTTTTACATGATAAGTTTTTAAAATTCTGAGAAAAAGGAAAGACTTGAGAATTTAAAAACCATTAATGGGAACTAAGTTTATGTCAGTGTTTTATAAAAGCTGATATTAGTATTTCTAAAGAAAAGAGATAGAAGCTCTGAAGAGACGAATTACTGCTCAAAAATTGGAACAGTTATCAAAAACAGTATTTTACAGTTGCGCAGAGATGACGTTTTACTGGTGCGGTTTCCCAAATTTTCAATGACTGGGTAATATTAGTGCCATATGATCTACTTAATATATTTTATGAAGCCAGCATTATCTTTATACTAACACCTGGCAAAGTGTACACAAACACATATACACACCTTATCTGTAGGCCAGTATTACTTACAAGTGGTATTAAAATGGCAAATCAAGTACCCACATTTGCCTCACCTGACACCCTAAATTCTCTCTCTCTTTGTAAAAATTAAGAGAAGGGGATATTAGTATTGGAAAGTGAGACATTTACCATTAATAGTATAAAGTTTGAGAAATTTCTGTAAGATGGCAGTTGTGGATGGATATAGGATAGATGGAGGAGAGAACCATCTGGAACCTATTCAAGAGAACACAGGAATATGTATGCTTGGTTTTCTGAGGTTGTGCTGAGGAGCAGGCATCACAGAGATTGGCCTGCAGGTTGAAGCGGTGTGTGTGGCCCTTAGAGCCAGAAAGGTGGGGCAGGGTTCTGGGAATATTGAGTTGTAGGGAGGATGCTGAGCCTCAGACAGCAGGGATGAGCTGCTGTTGATATGTTGTGCCCTAGACCATGTTCAGCCCTTCCACTATCACTGGAGATAAGCCCGTGTAATCATAGCTAACAGCCATGGTTTTTTGAACACTGATTATTCTAATAAGAGTGAACAGCAGTGAATTAAGACTAGCCAAACACTTGGGGAAGCCAGTGCCATGAGAGAGGTAGGTACTTGTCACCTCTGCTCACTGTTGTGTCCCAGCTCTCATAACCATGTCAACAAATTAAAAACTTGTTGCACCTATGAGTAAAATAAAGGAGGTTTATCAGGCTTCAACTTTTACTTGATTCTGGGGACTCAGTATCATCAAAGCCCTGATTTTCTTTGTTTATTTGGACTTAAGTGGTGACAACTTCACTTCAAAGCTGGTTTCCCTTGTGGTGAAGGAACTACAGCAGTTCCAAACATTATTACACCCTATACCTGGGGTCAGCAAACTTATTTTGTACAGAACATTGTAGAAAATATTTGGGGCTTTTTCAGGCAATATAGTCCCTGCTGCAATTATTCAACTCTACCATTGTATCATGAAGTCAGCCATAGAAAATTTGTAAACAAATGAGTGTGACTTGCATGCCAATAAAATTACTTACAAAATCAGTTGGCACACTAATTTAGCCTGGAGGCTGTAGTTTGCTGACTTCTACCCTACACGGTCTACAACAAGCAGGTGTCTTTTCTAGTAGCACTCTCACAAGGACAAGGGGGTTTTCATTTCCAAAGTTATCAGCCCCTTCCATTTTAGCATTCTGGCCTGAATTTTGTCTGATGTCTGTTAATGAACCAATTTCTATAATAAGGGGGGTGAGATTGTCAGATTAGTATGGAGTCCTCATGGCCCAGTATGAAACTATTGGTGGAAGGAGCTTTCTTGAAGGTTATGAGTTTCATAGGGCCAAAACTACACAATTAGGAAGGTAGTAGGGGAATAGAAGCTGGGTAGATACCAGATAAGGTTCACTCTGTAGAACTGATCACAGTGTATTACAGTATGTACAACTGTTGCCCTCCTAGCTTGGATGTAAAGTCCTTGAGATCAAGCACCACACTGTTTTGATTATTAGTAACTTCAGCTTGCACCTTATGCAGGGCTTTAATTCAAATAAATTGAAAGTGGCCAGAATCTTTGCTCACAAGGATTACTATACAGGGTGGGGCAAAAGTGGGTTTATGGTTGTGAGTATGCAAAACACAGTATATTTTTGTATTGTTACTTATTATTGTATTATTTTCCATATAATGACAGTAAACTTACTTTTGCTTCACCCTGTATATTTTTTGGTTTTATAAGGATGTAATAATATAAATGTGCATTGTTCATTATCAGTCCTATAAATGACAGAAGAAACTATTTAGAAACTATTAATTTTTTCATTGTTTATTAAAACTAATTTTTAAGGGACTAACTTTACTTTTTTTTCCTTCTAACTTAAGGTTCACAAAAAGGATTCTGGCTTTTGGCGAGATTTTGGCTTTGGCATGACTTGTCAGTACCGATCAGATTTCCTGACTGTTGGTGAGTGTACCTTACATTTAAGGATAGGACTTTACATATTACCTTATGTCATTTTTCTAAGAGATCTCAAATTTGAGTGTTTTCCTCTTAAATTGTCAATGTCCGAGAATAGCTGAGGAGTCTGGAGATAGGAAAGGCAAAATGAGTCTATAATTATTGCCTGTGAATAGCAAAAATGAGGTACATCATAAAAGTAAAATTAAAAGTTATGTTTCTTCAAAATCAAGGCACTAGTTTTTAAAAATATCTTTGCAGTTGATTTAAGTTTTCTAACAAAAGATCTTTACATAACTTTGATGTTGTACTCATGGATTGTTATAGCAGGAAGAATGTTGGGTTATCTAGTCCAAGGGCTTTTATACTTTTTATTGAGAAACAAAACCCCCATTTTAGTTGTCTATTGAACTGTTATCAAAAATTTTAGTATTTAAAACAAATGAAAAAACAGTTGCTCTCTTTGACTGGTTAAAGTTGAAGTGAGGGACTTGGGGTTACTAGTTTAGTCGTTACTCTCCTAAACTACAAGTGACCATGAAGAATTTGGTTGAGGCTTCCTGCCACACCCCAGCTCCATTCTTACACAGTGGAAAATAAAATGTCAGAGCATAATTTCAGAAAGCAGGCTGAGCTTTTCAGCCATGATGGCAGAGTAGGTAAGTACTATGCTAGTCTGCTCCTGTCATTACATCAAAATTATAACTAACTTATAAAACAACCATCCTTGGGAATCAGTCACCTGAAGGCTAGTTGAAAAGAATGCCTGTAAATAAGCTGAAGGGAATATAAAATAAGGATATAAGGAAATCCATGACTTCCTTATATAAGGACTGTTAACTGGATGATGTGTAACAGGCTAGTTCACATCCATATGTGAGTCAGAAGAGATATCTTGGCTGTAGACTTTTCCTCTGAGGAATGAGGGGGGCGTAGCTCCACACTGGGTTCCACAGCTCAGACCAGTGGTGCTGGGAAGAGTAGTCCCCACAACCTGTAGCTGTAAAAATCATTGGATATTCTGTCTGGTTAAGACAGAGGGCTTCTGGAGTCCCAGATATCCCTATTTAGGGGCCTGTGCAAAGACTTACTTGCTGATGGACAGTTCGCTCTGAGCTTGAGCTCTGGGAAGCAGCTTAAAGAACGCCGGGGACAAACAAGGGGAAACTGGATTATCTGGCTTTGGGGTATATGCTGGAAGGGCAGCTCTGTCTATGACAAGTACTGGCAGGGACCATTTTCCTTTGTTGAGTTCTACCTGTCACCAGCCTGCAGGCACAGGCAGGCAACCAATCTGTGTCTCTGTGAAACTAGCTATCACAGGTCACACCACCTTAGTGATGCCCTGAGACTCTACCCAACCCAACCTGTGCACCACCCTGAACATCTTTCAGCTGCTGTTCCTCACAAGCAGCAGGTTGCAATCTGTGCTATGAATTTCCTTAAATCTCTCAAAAGTCCACAAATGCCAAATAATTATCAGCTGGCCTCAGCATACCTTGTACTTCTGGCACTAGTATCCAGGCTACAGTTTATAGCATAACGGCTTCCAGGTGCCTCCAAGCCTGGAACAGGCAGCTATCATGTGCAGATTTCTTTGTAGTTCCTACCATGTAGCCTCAGGTAAGGTATAGGCAGCGGGTGACCTGGACCTGCACTGGCACTCCTCCCAAGAGGCCCCAGGAACAACACAGCGAGGCTAGTTTCAGACCACACTAGATCACCAATCAGTTATCTCCAAAAAGGACATACCCAATGGATGGACTCCATAGGCACTAGAGTCCTGCTACAGTGAATCCCATTTCATGGGGTCAGTCTCCACCCATCTTCAGTTACAACCTTGTAGAGCTCCTAGAAGTAAAACTCACAGAAGTATAGGGGTCCTCCTATCAATAGGCCTGCCTGGATTTGAGCCTCTAGCAATTCATTGATTACAGCTGAGATTTGTCTACCCTTGCATTGGTTCCCCTGGAGATTTCTACTCATAATTTCTGTTCTAATAATTGTGATTTTATACTACCTATTTATCATGTCTTTCCAGCTTGGGGCAGGGGTCAGTTTGCCCTGTGACCTCATTTCTCTGAGTGGTCTGAGAACAGTTTTTGGTTTTTTAATTTGTTCAGTTTTTAAAATTTGTTGTTAGGACAGAGTATTGACCTCTAAGCTCTTTACGTGCTGAAGCAGATTTGTTTTAAGTATCTACACCATCCCTGACATTTGAAGAATTTCTTTGTACTTACAAGGAGGAAAAGCCCATATGTATCAGACATAGCATTTAGTAAAGCTGTGACTATTTAAAGTAATGCTTTTTAGAGATCTGTAGATTATTGTCATTCTGTGAACGTGAAATTAAGTGGAGTAGAATTATTTGATAGAAGACATAATTTGGAAACCTATCTCTTAATAAAAGAACTTTTTTAGTATTTAAGACTCTTTTGGAGCTTTTCAAAACAGAACTGAAAATGGTTTGTGTTCTCCATGCTTTAAAAAGTTTTTTTGTTCAACTCAAACTAGTCTCAACTCCCATTTCATATGCCTTCTCTAGTTAACCTTCTGCCATTAAGTATGAATGTCAATTCTCTCAGAATTGTTCTACACAAGGTTCTAAGTGGCATTTATGTTACCAGGTCTACTTGATTCCTTTTTTATGTTCTTAGTTGAGTAACACATACTTGACCATTTCTTTCTTAAGACACTTTCTTCACTTAACTACTGTGATAGCACATTTTTCAGAATTTTCTCCCTCCTCTGGGGCCATTTCTCAGTTTCTCTTGTAGACTTATCTTCCTCTGCCTATTTAACCTCTATTTATTAACATTTAGACTTGGACTCTGCTTTTTTTATAAACTAGTCATTTCACCCATTTCTTGTGTCTAAATCTTCTGTGTGCTAATTCTTAAAATTTATATCTCCAGCTTTCACATATCTTTTTATCTCCCCTCTGGTAAGTTTTATGCAACCCAGAAAAACTTACATCTCAAAGGAGAGAAAGAAAACATAGTAAAATATTAATGGTGATTAGATTATGAGTGGTTTATATTGCTTTCTCCTTGACCTTCTAAAAATTTTCTATAGAACTTTGAAGTTTACAAAGGAGTCTCAAATATTTAATTTTATTTCAATACTCTCAACAACAGACTTTGAACTCCTAGATGCCATCTGGTAACTGGACTTCCAAACCAGGACATCAGTCTCAACATGAGGTGTCGGTGGGCCATTTTCCATGCCATCTCACTTGAAGCAGAATGTTTAAATCTTTATCAAATTTGACTGTGTTCCAGCTGCTAGGAAGTTACTTAGTGTTAATTTTGATCCCACAGGTGGATTTGACATGGAAGTTAAAGGCTGGGGTGGAGAAGATGTTCATCTTTATCGAAAATACTTACATAGTGACCTGATTGTTATTCGGACTCCAGTTCCTGGTCTTTTCCACCTCTGGCATGAGAAACGCTGTGCTGATGAGTTGACCCCCGAGCAGTACCGCATGTGCATCCAGTCTAAAGCTATGAATGAAGCCTCTCACTCGCACATGGGAATGCTGGTCTTCAGGGAGGAAATAGAGACACATCTTCGCAAACAAGCATACAGGACAAATAGTGAAGTTGTTGGTTAAAGTGATCGTTAGTCCAAATCACAAGCCAGCACTGAACCTCAAACCAGCACTATTTATTTAGCCTTAATTCCAGTTCTAGATGCAGTGCCTTTTTCAGAAAAGACATGCTTGTTTTGTGTTCTTTCTGACATTACTTTACTCTAACAGTTTAACTTCATAGAAAAGAGAAAGCAACTGTTTCAATGCAAAATCTGAACTTATGGAATCATTGATAAATCGAAATTTGGTGTTTGGCTCCAAAAATAGTTTTGAGTTAGTTTCTACTCTGTGCCCATGTTTTCATGTGTCCTGGTTGCATCTGTGATGATGATGGGTAAGAAGCATGTTGTTCCTGCAGAAATGGAGAATTATAGATGGAGTGTGTGGACAAAGGTTTTTCACCTGCCAACCACTGAGTCAACTTGCTTGGTTTTTAAATGAAGATCTTTGGTTGCTTGCTTGAAGAATCCTTTTTCACTGAAGCAGAGGATACTTCAATGACAATTCTGAAATCCCCAACCAGTCAAGGAAGACAGAATTAAAAATCCCTTCTTGTTGTTTTGTCCCCTAAATGTCTGTTTTTAAAGAAATAGATAATACTAGGAAATACTCAGAATCTATGAATTGATTAAAATATAGTGTCATCATGTTCAGGATTAGAAGTCAAAGTTTCTGTAGAGTGTTTTGAACAAACTATAATCAGCATGGAAATGTCTAATTATATTGGAGCACAGGACACCAGTGGTCTGGGAATATCATGAGCCAGGGCTTATAAGGGCCTTCTAGTGGTGGGTGGTTCAGAATAGATGAGCATAGCATGGTGCTATGTGTTTTTGCTTTGTACTGTCTCATTTAGCATGGATCCATAGGTATTAGTGTACTTTTTTCCTAATATGTTAATATATGCTACATCTGTATTTGCATTATTGTAATACTTTTGAGTTTATAGTTCCACTGAAGGGAGAAAAGCAAAGCAAGCTGTATATACCATAAGATCACACTGAATTGACAAAGGGGAAAAGAGGACTCCCATCCAAGTACTAACCAGGCCCGACCCTGCTTAGCTTCCGAGATCAGGTGAGATTGGGCGCATTCAGGGTGGTAGAGGAGAGCAGTATGAATGGAATCTGGATTACAGAATATTTTAAAGATGCATATTACTTTGAGATAGTAGGATGTTTTGAGGTATAAATTATATTAAGAGACAAGATGAATAAGAAATTATATTCAGCTAGAGCTATACTATGTTATGTATCACACATGGATCTTTTACCATTGGGTCAGTTGCTAGATCCAGAAGTTAGAGATATGGTGAAAGGCATGTGTAGATTTTTTAACCTTTGGCTTTTAAAAAGGGACCTGTGTTATATTCTCTCTATTTATATATGAACCTCTGAGAAATCGCAGAAGAAATCACAGGGTACATTATTCTTTCAGCACAGTAAATCGTATCATCTGAAATATTATGAATTCCAAATTTCTTGGTGCTATATGAATTCAATTTTATAATAACTCTTATAATTAGCCTTATAAGTTTTAAGTTGGGGTAGCACTTAAGCTTGCTTTTTTAAGATGTGTAAAATGATGTTCTGTGCAAAGTTATTCAAGCTGTTGGCTCCTTTTATGTATAAGTATTGTGAAGACCAGTGAAAAGTGAGAGAACCTAACTATTTTCAAAGGTAAGTTTCAGGTTGTTTTTTGACAGAATCAAATGATTTTATCTTTCCTGCTTTTTTTAAAACTTCTATTTTAAAGATAGAAGCCAAGCATGGAGACATTACCATATTTTTTTTTACATTAAATGGTACCAATAAAGTATTTTATTACCAAAAATTAAGTGAAAATGTGATAAATTAATTTCATTCTGTTGTAAATATCATAAATACAGAAATGTGTATAACATATAATTGTGTACTTTAAATAATAATAATGCAAACACCAGGGCACAACCTACCCAGATTAACATACAGAGCATTAGCAGTAAAACACCTGTGTGCTGCTTCTTGATCACACAGCCTCTGTCTCCATAATAATCACCAACTTGATGTTTGTGGTAATTTTTTACATATTTCTCTTCTTCATTTTCCCAACTGCATATTTATATCTACCCAGTGAATTTGTATACATATTATTTCAGTATGTATTTTTAACTTTCAGTTTTTGAGGTTCACTCATGTTAATCTCAAAATTAATCTGTTTTTATTACTGATTAGTACTCCGCTGTGAATATAGTCATGTGCTGCGTAAGGACCTTTCAGTCAGTGACAGACCATGTATACGACAGTAGTCCCATAAAATTAAAATGGAGCCCTACAAATTCCTGCCACCTTGTGATGTTAAAATATCAGAATCACTGTCTTGATGACTACGGAGTATACCATTGCTTTTAAACCAACTGTTCCAAAATGTTTATTGAAACCTTATTATATGCTTAGTTAGCACTGTTCTAGACACTATGTATAATAGTGAACAAGAATAGTGGAGCTTAGCCTTGGCATGTGGCTCAGTTGGTTGGAGCATTGTCCTGTGCACCAAAAGGTTGCAGGTTTGATCCCTGGTCAGGGCACATACCGAGGTTGTGGGTTCAATTCCAGGTCGGGACACATACAGGAAGTAACCAATTGAAGTTTCTCATTTCTTTCTGTCTTTAAAAATCAATAAAAACATATCCTTGTGTGAGGATTAAAAAAAAGAATAGTAGAGCTTATATTATAGCTCTGGAGAGTCCTGGCCAGGTAGCTCAATTGGTTAGTGTCATTCCAGATAACATGCCAAGGTTGCAAGTTTGATCCCCAGTGAGGGCATTTTCAAGAAAAAAACCAATGAATCCATAATCAGTGGAATAAAAAAATATGTTTCTTTCTCTCTCTCTCCCTCTCTTTTTCAAAACTAATCAATAAATATACTTCTGGAGAGACATAAATTGTAGCACAATGCATTACTCATGTGTGTGGTGATACTGGTATAAGCAAACCTATGCTGCCAGTCATACAGCACATACAATTATATACAGTACATTGTACTTGATAATAATAATAAATGACTGTGTTACTGACTTATGTATTACTACACGACACTTTCTATCATTATTTTAGAGTGTACTCTTACAAAAAATGTTTGCTGTGAAACATTAGGTGGTATTACACTGGCAGCAGCCTCCTACAAATCATGTTTACTGCTTCCTCTTGATTGTATAATTTTCTTGTGCTTGATTTAATGTTGTGTTTGATAAATTTAGTGTAGCCTAAGTGTAGTGTTTTAAATCTACAGTAGTGTACAGTAATATCCTGGACCTTCACATTCACTCAACACACACTCACTCACTCACTCACTCACCTAGTGCAACTCTAGTCCTGTAGGCTCCATTCATGGTAAGTGCCCTACACAAATGTAGCATTTTTAAACTTATATACTGTATTTTTAGTGTACCTTTTCCGTGTTTAGATATATTTGAATACACACATACTTAACCATTATGTTACAGTTGCCAACAGTATTCGGTACAATAACATGCTGTACAGGCCTGTTACCTAGAAGCAATAGGCTATTCCATATAGCCTAGGTGTGTAGTAGGCTATACCATCTAAGTTTGTGTAAGTGCACTCTATGATCTTCACACAGGGATGAAATTGCTTAATGACACATTTCTGAGAATGTATCCCATCATTAAGCAGTGTATAACTGTATACTACAATATTATACTTTTATAGATACTTGAGTTTGTAGATTTTTGTCATCTGTTTGTTTTTGGCTATCACAAGCAGGGTTGACATGTCACTTTACATGTCTCTTAAAAATGCGAGAGCTTCTCTAGGAGTGATGGTGCTAGATCATTTATGTTATGCACATTCAACTTACTTTCCAGAGTAGACTGACCACCTCCAGCACTGTGAGAGAGTTCACTTTGCATTCTAGGCACTACTTAATTTTGTAGTTTTGAGATGGGAAAGAGACAAAACTCATCTGATTCTGCTACTTCCTGCTTAGTTTAATCCCAGCTGGTGCAGAAGAAATACAAACCAGAATATATTTTATTTTAAATAAATGTATTGGGTTACATTGGTTAATAAGATTGTATAGGTTTCAAGGGTACATTTCTATGATACATAATCTGTATATTGCATTGTGTGTCCACCACCCAAAGTCATCATCTTCTGGCACCATGCATTTGGCCCCTTTACTCCTCCAAGTCCCCTTCCCTCTTGTGACCACCACACTGCTGTCTGTGTCTATGAGTTTCAGTTTTATATCCCACATACGAGTGAAATAATATGGTTCTTAGTTTATTCTGACTTATTTTGCTTAGCATAATATTCTCAAGGTCCATCCATGGTGTCACAAATGACAGTACTTCATCTTATAGCTGAGTAATATTCCATTGTATATATGTACCACATCTTCTTTACCTAATTTTCTATTAAAGATAGAAGTACTGGAAACAACACTTTAGTTGTTTCCATGTCTTGGCCACATGAATAGTGCTGCAATGAACATAGTTGTGCATATACTTTTGTGAATAAATACTATCTTCTGAATACTTCAAACATAGCTCTGCTTTTCCCAGTTAGGTCTTTACCTAAGTAGAAGAGATTTTTGTGAATTTGTGTGAGAAATTATTGCATTTTACTTCTTTCCAGCATCATCTTCTTATAAGGTGATTCGCAAAACCACTCTCATCCATCAGATGTTCATGAACTCACAAGTCTGATTTGGGCTGTCATTTGTTCAGTTAGGCCAGGTGTATCAAACTCATTTTTCCCAGGGGCCACATCAGCTTTGCAGTTGCCTTCAAAGGGCTAAAGGTAATTTTAGGACTGTATAAATGTAACTACCCTAACTAGGGGCAAGGAGCTCAGTGCTGCCACCAGGTAGAAACAAGAGGTGCCAGGCCAGATAAAACAAGGTGAAGAGCCAGATTCAGCCCATGGGCCTTGTGTTTGCCACCTGTGAGTTAGGCCTTCTGTCTGGCACTGTGCTGTAATTTAGACATCACAGTCTAAATTACTCTAACTTTATACAAGTCATTATCTTTGAGGGTAAGTCTATTTGCCATGTTCTTAAAGATTGTCTATTTGAAGCCTTGGTACTTTCATACAAGTTTTAGAATAAGCTTGTTAATTTCCACAAAAACTTTAATGAATTCAGTTGGAATGTCACTAAATCTATAAGGTCACCTGGGAGAAAATTCACATTTGTATGCTAGAGCCTTCCAGTCCTTGAACATGACTCATCTACTTAGGTCTTCGTTGTCTTCAAATAAGTTTTATACTTTTCACACAGTGGACTTAAACAAGTATCATTTTACATTTTTTCTGGATATGTTGCATTTTTTATGACATTGTAACTATCTTGTATTTTATTGTCTATTTATGGGTTTTAGAAAACAAATGGATTTTTGTGTTCAGCAACTTTGCCAAAACACCTAATTCTGAAATGTATTTCTAGTTTCTTTTGCATTTTTTGTTATGTAATCACATATATCTATGAGTAGTGAAAAGACAAAAGACATTTTTTGTCTTTTCAATATTTATATTTTTGTCTTACTACAATAATTAGGATTTGTTATACAGTGTTGACTGGAAGTGATAATGGTGAACTTCCTGCCTATGTTTCTGACATCACAGAGAACTCTCTCAGTGTTTCATCACTAAGTATAATATTTACTGGAGGTGTTTTTGTGAATACCCTTCATCAGGTTAACAAAATTACTTTCTATTACTACTTGGTGAGTTTTTTATCATGCTTAAGAGCATTAATCAAATACTGTTACTTTATTAAGATAATCACATGATTTTTTTCTACCTTTAATATGTTAAATTGATGAAATGAACTAATCAAACTTGTGAAATAACCTTGCATTCCTGGGGTAAACTACAATAGGTTATGATGTCTTATCTTTATTACATTTTGCTAGATCGTTTGCATATATACGCACACATGCCCACACACACACCATGAGCATATCTATGTATTAATTTGTGTGCGCAAGGATGTTTGTGTATATGTATTTCAGGTATTTTTCATCTAAATGAGTGAGAATGCTTCCAACTTTCCTTTCTGATCCTTGTTGAGCTTTTCTATAAAAATATACTAGCTTATGCCCTGGCTGGTGTAGTTCAGAGAATTGAGTGCAGGCCTGTGAACCAAAGGGTTGCTGGATCAATTCCCAGTCAGCGTACATGCCTGGATTGCAGGCCAGGTCCCCAGTAGAGGGGCGAGAGGCAACCACACACTGTTTTTCTCCCTCTCTTTCTCCTTCCCCTCTCTCTAAAAATAAATAAAATATTTTAGCTTATAAAATAGGTTGCAGATGTTCCTTCTTATTCTGTTCCTCGAAAAGTTTTGTAAGACTGTAATTGTTTCTTGAATATTTTCCAGAACTGCCTGAATGCCACCTGGGCATGAACTTCTTTATATGGAAAGATTTATGATTGTTGGTTCAATTTATTTAATGATTTTGGAACTATTCAGCTTTTCTATTTTTTCTAGAGTCAACTTTGGTTATTTAAGGTAAGGTAAAGTTCTCTAGGAATTTATACTGATAAATTTGAAAATGTAGATGAAATTACAAAGTTGCCTGCCATATCTTCTTATGTGTGTAGTATGTACAGGACTTATAATGATAGACTCTCTTTCATTCCTGATATTGTTTACTTGTGCCTTTTTTGTTCTTTTTTTTAAATTAGCTTTGCCAGAGGTTGGCAATTTTTTTAGGTCCTTTCAAATAACTAGCCCTTATGAGCCACATATGAGAGATCCAGTTGCTTCACATCCTCCCAACACAGCATTTTCAGTGTTTTAATTTTTTTAAAGATTTTATTTATTTATCTTTAGAGGGGAAGGGAAGGAGAGAGGGAGAGAAACATCAATGTATGGTTGTCTCTCACATGTTCCCTGCTGGGAACTGGCTTGCAACCCAGACATGTGCTCTGACTGGGAATTGAACGGTGGTTGTTTGGTTCTCAGGCCCACATGCAGTCCACTGAGCTACACCAGCCAGGGCTTCAGTGTTTTTAATTTAGACTATTTAATATCTGTTGTGTATACAGGAGTGGACAAAAGTAGATTTACACTTGTTTATATAGACAATAATAACAATACAAGAACAAGCTGTTTCACAAACTTACAACTGTAAACCTACATTTGCCCACCCCTGTGTACAGTTAACCTCATTTTGGTTTTAATTTATCATCAAGGAAATGATGTTAAATATATTTTTACATGCTTTTGGCCATTTATCTTTTATGAAATGCCTATTAAAATGTTTTGCTGTTTTCTTGTTGCCTTTTAAAAAACCTTATTTGTAGGAGTTACTTCTGTATCCTGGATATGAGTCTTTTGTCAGACTTATGTATTACAAATATCTTCTCCAAGGCAGGAGACTATTCTTGATTCTCCTAATGTTATCTGTTAATAACCAAAGTCCTTAATTTTAGTAATAGCTAGATTATCTATTTTCTTCTATGACTAGTGGTTTTTGTGTCCAATTAAAAAAAAAACCTTTTGTGTACTCTAAAGAAATATTTATATTTTCTTTTAGACATTTTATTGTGTTGTCTTTCATATTTGAGTCTATGATCCATCTAGAAATAATTTTTATATATACAGGGTCCTGCAGAAATAAGATCTTGCTTAAGTGTGGTTGGTAGGGTGATAATATGGGTGTAATATTTATAGTTTTAATTTGAACATTTTACCTAAAATGTCATATGGTGTGCTTGAGTGTGATGATGTTATGTTACAGAATTATATGTTTATGATTTTGTAATAAAAATGGGGCATTATTTGTTCTAGACCCTGTATAATAGGAGAAAATTCATCCTTTAGAATTTTTTTTAGTAAAGACTTTCTAACTATAGAAAATATATTTGCAAACTATATTTAGTTTGCAAAGATATTTATCATTTTTAAAATATTTTTGAAGGATATAGAATTCTAGACTGGAAAAATTTTCTTTTAGCATATTGATGTTACTGCATTATCCTCTTGCATCAATTATTTCTGTTGTAAAGTGAGCAATCAAGAGCTAATTCACCTTTGTAATCTTTTTTTCCTGTTTCTCTCTATTCTGTGTCACTATGACACATATGTGTGCAGATTTAGTTTTTCTGATCCTGCTTGAGATTCTCTGGGATCCTTAGATTGTTAACTTTTATCAATATTGACAGATTCTCAGCTATTATATTTTCATTATCTCTGCCTCATTCTCACTCTCCTATAACTTTGATAATATGTGATGAACTTGTATCCTCCATGTCTCTTAACCTGTTTCACTTTTCTTTCTTCTATTTATTTTTGTTTTTAACATTTTTTTATTGTTGTTCAAGTAGTTTTTTGCCTTTTCCTCCCATTCTGCCCCACCACCCTAGCCCTCTCCACCTCCTTCCCCTGTTTCCATCCCCTTTTGTTATTGTCCATATGTCCTTTCTAATTGTTCCTGTAAACCCTTCACATTTTTCCCCCATTATCCCCTCCCCTCTGGTCACTGTCAGCCTGTTCTCAATTTCAGTGCCTTTGGTTGTATTTTGCTTGCTTGTCAGTGTTTTGGTGGTTAGATGCCTGTTAAAGGTGAGATCATATGGTATTTGTCTTTCTCCGCCTGGCTTATTTTGCTTAGCATAATGCTCTGCAGTTCCATCCACGCTTTTGGAAAGGGTAGGAGCTCCTTCTTTCTTTCTGCTTCATATGATTCCATCGTGTAAATGTACCACAGATTTTTGATCCATTCATTTATTGATGGACTCTTAGGTTGCTTCCAGCACTTGGCTGTTGTAAATTGTGCTGCTATGAACATTGGAATACATAGGTTCTTTTGGATTGGTGTTTTACAGTTGTTAGGATACAACCCTAGCAGTGAAATTGCCTGGTCAAAAGGCAGTTCCATTTTTAGTTTTCTGAGGAAATTCCATAGTGGTTGCAATAGGGTTCCTTTTCTCACAACCTCTCCAACACTTGTTGCTTTGTTTATGATGGCCATTCTGACTGGTATGATGTGGTAGCTCATTGTGGTTTTAATTTGCATCTCTCTGATGGCTAGTGATACTGAGCATCTTTTCACATATCTCTGGATGCTTCGTATGTCCTCCTTGGAGAAGTGTCTGTCCAAGTCCTTTGCCCATTGTTAAATTTGATGTTTTGTCTTCCTAGCGTGGAGTCATTTGAGTTCTTTACATATTTTGGATATCAAACCCTTGTCTGAAGTATCATTGACAAATATGTTTTCCCATATGTTCGGTTCTCTTTTCATTTTAATGCTATTTTCTTTAGCCATGTAGAAGCTTTTTGTTTTGATGAGGTCCCACTTGTTTATTCTTTCCTTTATGTCCCTTGCTTTAGGGGACATGTCAGTAAAAATGTTGCTGCGTGGAATATCTGAGATTTTCCTGCCTATGTTCTCCACTAGGACTTTAATGGTGTCATGACTTATATTTAATCCTTTATGCACCTTATAAGTTTTATCCAGCTTATTTTTGTGTATGATGTAAGTAGGTGCTTGAGTTTAATTTTTTTGCATGTACCTGTCCAGCTCTCCTAACACCATTTGTTAAAGAGGCTATTTTTACCACATTTTATGCTTCTGCCCCCTTGTCAAATATTAATTAATCATAAAGACTTGGGTTTCTTTCTCTATTTTGTTCCATTGGTCTATGTGTCTGTTCTTATGCCAGTACCAGGCTGTTTTGATTACAGTGGTTTTGTAATACAGTTTGATATCAGATATTGTGATCCCTCCTACTTTGCTCTTCTCTCTCAGAATTGCTGCAGATGTTTGGAGTCATTTATGGTTCCATATAAATTTTTGAAGTGTTTGTTCTATGTCTGTGAAATATGCCATTGGCACTTTAATAGGTATTGCCTTGAATCTATAAATTGCTTTGGGTAGTGTGGACATTTTGGTGATGTTAATTCTTCTGATCCATAAACACGGTATATGTTTCCATTTGTGTGTGTCTTCTTAATTTCTTCAGTGTTGTGTAGTTTTCTGAGTACAGGTCTTTTACCTCCTTGGTTAGGTTTATTCCTACATATTGTATTTTTCTTGTTGCTATATCCACTGGGAGTTTTTTTCTGACTTCTGTTTCTTATGTTTCATTTTGGTATACAAAAATGCTTTTGATTTCTGAATATTGACTCTGTATCCCACTATTTTGCCAAATTTATTTATTAGGTCAAGCAGTTTATTGGTGGAATCTTTGGGATTTCCTATGTACACTATCATATTTGCAAACAATGAGTTTTGTTTCCTCTTTTCCAATTTTATTTCCAATAAAATGCCTTTTATTTCCTTTTCTTGCCTGATTGCTGTGGCTAGGACTTCCAATACTGTGTTGAATAAAAGTGGTGA